GGATTCTGAATTTTCTAAATTTTCTGGACTCTATTTTTTTTTGGGAGTTTATGTTTTTTTTTGGATTCTGAATTTTCTTCTTTTTAGTATTTAAGTATTTTCTGATTTTTATGGAGTTTGACGTGTCTGAATTTTCTCAAGTTTGAGTTTTCCTTTTCAAGGACCTGAATTTTCAGAAAACTCTCCTTTATTCAAGATAAATTAGCTTAAAGTAGGCTCCGTTTTGGGACCTTTCCTTTACTGGAACTTTCCTTTGCAGGATTCCTGAAAAGGATGGCTCTTGTAAAGGAAAGTTCCAGCAAAGGAGAGTTCCTGAAAAGGATGGCTCCTGTAAAGGAAAGTTCCAGCAAAGGAGAGTGCCTGAAAACCATAATTCCTGTAAAGGAAAATTCCAGCAAAGGAGGGTTCCTGAAAACTATGGTTCCTGTAAAGGAAAGTTCCAGCAAAGGAAAGTGCCTGAAAACCATGATTCCTGTAAAGGAAAGTTCCAGTAAAGGAGAGTTCCTGAAAAGGATGGTTCCTGTAAAGGAAAGTTCCAGCAAAGGAGAGTTCCTGAAAAGGATGGTATCTCCTTTACTGGAACTTTCCTTTACAGGAACCATAGTTTTCAGGTATCTATTTCTCCAACTATTCCTGGGCAGCAACTTCGAAATGAAAACAAAACAAAAAAATGATTTCCAGCTATTTTCAGATATTTTCAGGTATTTTCAGATATTTTCAAATATATTTTCAGATATTTTTCACTAATATTCGAATATATTTGATTATATCTTCATTATTATGTAATAAACTCAAATAAACAAATAGTGAAACTTAACTCAAAATTAATTTTTAAAAATAATTTAAACAAGATATTAGCAAGATACTAGCAACTTATCAGATACTTATTAGTTCGTTAAGTGCCTAAAGTGAAAATTTCTTCCATTAGTGGTCTTAGTACTAATAGTTCAACATTGAACCGGGGTGTTATTATTCAAACATTGAACAGTTGAACTCGGGTAGTAACAATAATGAACATCAATTATTGGAATCATATTGAGTCAATGGAACCCAACAAATATTCTCAAAAAACATCTTGTCACTTTTTGACTTCCTTAACCTTAGGCCAGATAAGCACTAATATTTCCATTAAGTGCCTAAAGTGAAAATATCCTCCATTAGTGTTCTCAGTATGCATGTACACACATATGTGAATAGATGTGGGACCATAAAATCTTGGTGTTGAATATTACAGGGACGGGATTTGCAACCCCCCAGACAATCAACGTGCTCTTCTCACAAACCAACGATTTTCGCAAACTAGGGCACCACGCTTGTACGATCGCGTGCGGTTGAGGGTGCAGTTGAGCTTCAAGGTGGGCGTTAGTAACGATAGGTGTGGGCAGATCAACCCAACTTTTGAAGCTGAACTCATTGTGGTTATATCCACAACCTATGGTGCACTTCTAAATTAACAATTTAATGCAATTAGTGTGTGAGTACGTGAAAAATCCCATCATGTATAAATACAGGCCGGGGGCCGCATGCTGAGTTCAAATCAAGCTGCAGATCCTTTCCTTGGGCTAGGTCTGCTACAGATGTGAGTGTTTAAACAGGATGGTCTTTCGGCGCCACGACTACGAGGCGCCACCCAGGCATCAGGAGCAACGTGCCGGAGCAGGATGCCAGGCACGAGCATCCTCAACTTCTGTGCAAGTGCCCGAATTGCTGAAGGATTCTTGCCCAGAATTGCCATTTCAGGCAAGCATTGCAGAAAGTCTGATGCCTATAAAGAGAGCTTGAAGACTATCGCAGCGGCACAGAAATCTTGGGGCTTGCATGCTTCACGCCAAAGCCGTGCTGCGCATTGGCAAGAATTGTCAAAGCTTGCTGTGGGTCGGGCCAATACAGGCGGCAAAAAAGCTGTGGCATCCGTAGTGGAAGAGTTCAGACCCAGTTTTGCCATGAAGGAGGGCGCACGAGACTATCAGATCTTGGCTTTCACTTGTGTTGTCGGCAAAGTGGAGCTGTGCCTCACTGAGAGCGTATGGCGGGGGAGTACCAAAAAATCAAATACCGTTCCTCGACCTGTTGCAGACGTGGTGGTTCAAATATGGTTCAAATTGCTGATTGTTAGTCAAGAAGAATACTGTTTGGAGACTGGCTAGTGTGGAAAGAAGCACAGAAACTGCAATTGTAATCTTTGAGGAAACTAGAGAAAACAGCTTGAATTCTAACTCCTTTGCTAAAGCGAATAACTTCCAAAAAGATTCCAACACATTTGAGGCAAAACCATCGGACATACGGTACCCTATGTTTACTTGGATTTTTTTCCCCATCCCCGGGGATTTTTTTTCCCGGCTAAGTTCTCGCAGACTGGGGTGCCAGGGAGGCAAGGCAGCAAGCAAGCAAGCAAGCAAGCCGGCCAGCAAGCAAGCAAGCAAAGAAGGGACCCAGCGAGCAAGCAAGCAAGCCAGCCAGCCAGCCAGCCAGCAAGCAAGCAAGCAAGGGAGCCAGCGAGCAAACCAAGCAAGCAAGCAAGCCAGCCAGCCAGCTAGCAAGCAAGCAAGCAAGCAAGGGGGCCAGCCAGCAAAGCAAGCAAGCAAGCAAGCGAGCCAGCCAGCCAGCAAGCAAGCAAGCAAGGGGGCCAGCCAGCAAACCAAGCAAGCAAGCGAGCGAGCGAGCGAGCGAGCAAGCAAGCAAGCGAGCAAACCAAGCAAGCAAGCAAGCAAGCAAGCGAGCAAGCGAGCAAGCGAGCAAGCGAGCAAGCGAGCAAGCGAGCAAGCGAGCGAGCAAGCAAGGGAGCCAGCGAGCAAACAATCTTTCTTCGAGGAATTTCTGTCCGAACCGAGGTTGTAACTAGTTATTGGCTTTATTATACACCCATATTTATTTTTACTTATGCATTATATTTGCTAGCATTGATGGAGAGAAAGAAGGGGATATTGTAGGCGTCGAAGCTACTAGTAAGTGGGATGAAAGTCTAAGTATTTTTGAAGATTCTTTTCGAACTCTCCCAAGCGGTTGATAGGCGATAGTCATGATGAAGGTCTAACCGCGGGCCCCAGTCAGTGGACACTGCCAGACCTCAACTGCGGGCCCCAGATCTCAGTGGGCACTGCCGGACCTCAACCACGAGCTCCACATGTTAGTGGGCACTGCCGGACCTCACTTGCGGGCGTCAAATTGCAGTGGGCACTGCCGCACCTCAACCGCGGGCGCCAGATCTCAGTGGGCACTGCCGGACCTCAGCTAGACGCCAGAGATAATGTCAGATAGAATGCCAGAAAGAATGTCCGAATAGATGCCAAGAATGCCAGAATTTAATGAATGTCTGAAACGATGCCACGTAGAATGTGAAAAAAGATGCCAGATAGAACGCAAGAAAGAATGTCAGAATATATATATATTATAATTATATATATACTTATTTATTCTGTATTTCTTTATTATATATTTTGCATATATATTCTGATTATTTTTTGATTATATATAGTTATTATATATAGTTATTATATATATTTATTATATATATATCATACACACATATATATTTATTGTACATATATGTATTTACTATATATATATGTAAATAATATACTATAATATATATATATATTATATATATTATATATATATATTATATATTTATTTTCAGAGATGGATGGATGGATGGATGGATGGATAGATAGATAGACAGATATTTGCCAGAAAGTATGCCTGAATAGATGCCAGGTAGAATGTCAAAGTATATGCCGCAAAGAATGTCAGATAAAATGTCAGAGTAAATGTTCCATATATACTTCCAGATGGTATGTCAGATACTTTGTCGGAATAGTGTTTCAGGGCGGGGGTCACGCGAAGCAAGTAATTTGCAGCAAAATTCGATACTTACATTTAGCCCAGGGATTTTCCAGCCAGGCACGTTTGATTGGGTAACCAGATCATGTTGATCCTAAAAACTCACAGCTTATCAGTTATCAAACTCCCCAAGCGATCACAACAACGATCACAACAACAACACAACAACAACAACCACAACAACCATCACAACAACCATCACAACAACCATCACAACAACCATCACAACAACCATCACAACAAGAAACAGCACAACAACAAACATCACAACAACAAACATAACAGCAACAAACGTAACAACAACAAATACAACAACATAGAAGGTTCCAGCTCTATAGGGAAAACATACCGGGCTCTTTAAAAAGAGCAGCCATCCAACTTGAACTCTAGCAAGGACAGTTAGACACCCCGGGTCCCCCAATTTCAATGTTGTGTGAAAGCAGCGCCTGGCGGAGCCTTCCAAAAAAACAGCCATTCTTGCTCCGGCCATTGATAAGTGATGATTAGCAACATTGATACAGGGGGTCCGGGGGCTTCCGGTGCATGCTGAAACTTTTTGGTCGAGGGCTGTTTTTTTTTGAAGACCCCGGTATCCGCATCATTATCCCATATTTTCCCCCTATATATCTTGTTGGTTGTATATCCCACTAGGCTTACTGATAAATCCATACAAAACAACATTTTTCTTCTTTAGTAGATTATCATATTACATCATATTTCCATATACCCTCTGGTTATTTAACATAGCCATGGAAAATCACCATTTTGAATAGGTAAACCATCTATTTCTATGGGCCATCTATACCATGGCGAACTGTTAGTCATAACCAGAGGGTATATTCACCATGATTTCCCGATGTTTTCCCATGAAAATCAGCGCCGATTTTCAGCCCCCCAGTGGTTCCACGGTGCTACCCTCTGGTAAACTAACATAGCTATGGAAAATCACCATTTATAATAGGTAATTCAACTATAAATGATCATTTTCAATAGCTTTTTGTATGTTTACCAGAGGGTATATCCAACTAATATCCCATTGAATCACTATTGAATCCCATTAAATCACTATAAATCCCATTAAATCACTATATATCACCATTAAATCATTTAATGATCATTTTCAATAGCTATTTTGACATAACCAGAGGGTAATCCCTTAGGTCCGATGTGGCCTGTGCCGTGAATTTGATCCTGGCCAGCGTCTTCGGCAGCGTCCTGAAACCTGCGCTGAATCCGGTGCCGGCAGTGCCGGGGGCAACGGGGAAACACTGGGGGGATGTTGACCTGTAAAGGTTACCCTCTGGTAATTTAACGTAGCTATTGAAGATGGCCATTTATAGTGAGTTTTCCCATTAAAAATGGTGATTTCCCATAGTTATGTTAGTTTACCAGGGGGTAGATCTCATGAGAATATCATTGATATACCTATATATATATAATCCCTTCCTCCTAATACTAAAACCCCCCCCCTAATACAAAACACGGCAGGTAGTTTTTAGTATTAGGGGGGTATTTATTATTAGGGAACCAAATCGAAGTCATGTTAATTAGTTATTCATGCATTAGAATGGAGGAAGGGATTATTCATTTTATACAGATTTCTAAGTAATTCTAATTAATTAATTAGATGCATAATTATGTATATATAACGCAATTAAAATATTGCCAAAAATGGCAGTTCGAAGCTTACCCCTAATACTAAATTAAAACCCTTAATACTAAAAACTATTTTTTCCGATCTCAAAATCAATTAAATTTCTTTATATAACGCAATTAAAATATTGCCAAAAATGGCAGTTAGAAGCTTACCCCTAATTGCTAGAGTAGCTAGGCAGCTTGGAGTGAGGGATTGGGACTAGGCCCCCCTAATACTAAACACCCCGGGGTGAACTAGTTTTTAGTATTAGGGGGGAGAACCCACAAATGGTAGGTTGATTTTCGAATTGTTTTTTAAAGGGGATCAATTAAAAGTCAAATTGGCCAAACTGAAATTTTCGGAAATTGGAGATGGATGCCTGTTTTTAGTATTAGGGGGACGTTTAGTATTAGGAGGAAGGGATTATATATGCTCTGGATATCATAATGGATATGTACATATAGTGTATTTGAATATATACATACACATGTATGTTATTGCTATGTGAAATTACATTATGTTTTGTTTTGTTTTGACTGGTATTTTATGTACGTAACGTAAGGTAATGTAATGCAATCCAAAGCAATGCAATGTAATGCAACATCAATGTCATGTCATGTAATGTAATGCAATGATATACAGAGAGAGAGAGGAGTTTGTGGATCGAGAACATGGGGGAATTTTGTATACATATATGTATATACAGTGTATATTATATATATACATGTTTCTGCAGATAACATTTGGTATATGGCCAACAATATCATTTGGGTGTCTGAAAATTGGTTATACCCTTAAAAAAACATGTTTAATTGCGAGAACTGGGGTTTCTACACATTTGTCACGTGCAGAGTGTGATTGCCAATTAACTAGTGCATGGCTGGCTTTAAAAAAACAGTCGTCACTCATTTTTATATACCTTACGCTCTCCCACTACCCATGAGATTAACTCCGATATGTTTACTTATGTTTTTAGGTACTCGGAGATCTTGGAGGGTCTAGGTATGTGTAAGACTGTTGTTGTGAACCAGTTGTTTTGAATAAAGCACCTAAACCGTGGAAACATATCTGAAACATCCAACGTTCCGCTCTTCCGAAAGAAAGTCTCTCCGTGATGGGAGCAGATACAAGTAGCCGATACGAATATATCCAGTATATATTTATTTATTTACATATATATATATTATGTATATACTATATATATATTTATATATTATGTATATACATGTGTATGTATATATATATATCCATGGATTTACGTAAATGCCATCACCGTTGCAGGTAGACACCATTTTCTACATGGCAGTGCCTTGTGCCATCTGCCTCATTCCAGCTCCTGGGATGACAAGTCAGAAAAATCGGTGTGGCCACAGCAAGCCCCAGCCTAAACGATCGCAATAGCGAAGTTTACGCACAAAATTCACTTGGCTAACTTTTGGGTTTTTGGGGGCTAATAAGATTTAATAACTATAGTAACAATTATTTAATGGCATGTGTATAAAACCAACTTGTAACTTGCTGGGCCTTACCTTGTAGTCAGTGGATGTTAATGCCAATGCCTCAGGTGGCGATTATGCCAGCGAAACCATTTTATGGCCAACCATCAACGGAGTTGAATCTAAAAACAACCTGTACTATAGCCATGTATAGCAAGCCGTGAACAAACATAGTATGTGTCTATGTAATGTCAAGTTGTGTAAGGATTTCAATTGATATCAATCTACTTTCACTTGATGTTCTTTTTATAAAAACCAAAAAAGAAATCTACAGGGGCCAAGGGGGGTGATTAATTAGGGGCGGGAAACCCTGCCGATTATTTGGGGGGACATGGGCTCATGAGGGATACCCTTTGGGAGCATCTCAAACTGCGGTTGTTTAACATTTGGGAAATGTTGTTTGTTTTTAAATTTGGCCAAGAATTTGGTTTGAACCAAGACTGCAAGACTGAGCCTGCGATTGCAAAGTCACAAGTCTGTGACTGCAAAGTCACAAGTCGGTAATTTTATGGTAATTGTGCGTGGTTCAAAGAAGTCGGCAATGAGATGGAACAGCGCGTCAGTGACACCATGTGCCAACCTTGCATGCCAGGACGATGCTGGGGATGATGGTGCCTAACGGGCGTTCCTATGACATGGCATCGAAGGATGCATGGAACGCAGTTCATTTGCAATGTGAAGAACTCATGCGCATGGAAGTTTTTCCTAATTTCGCACAAGGGCGTGGGAACTGCCTACGACCTTGAATCATGATTCTACATATCCCACGGTGTGTGACTGCAAAGTCACAAAAAGGCTGGTGCCAATGCAACAAAATGATCAGTTACTCACCTCGTCTAATGGTAGTGTCTGTGTGTTGAGCCAATAGTACATCTTGATTAATTGGGGAGTACATCTCCCGGTACGTTCATCAGGGGGGAGCAACCCATTTTAGTATTGCCAAAACATTTTTCCTGTGTGGGGGGTGATTTATCACTAGGGATTGTTTAATCACAACTTGACGTTATATTGCTAGCTGTCAAGTGCACTTCGCAGTAAGGGGATCAAAGTTTGGCTACTCCAACTACACGGAGATGTTTCGTTGTGTTGAGCAAAAGTGGATGCAGACCATTACAGATATACTAGATATTGAATTGGTCCACTAAAATGAACACTTGGAGAGCTGGAATAGCATGATAATGGTTCTGCAATTGGAACGGGACAGGAGATAGGTACCGAGTACCGATGGTGTTTTTCTGGTGAGGAGTTGATTCTTAGCTCCATGTGAGATCAACTGAATTTCTCAAAAGTTTGAAGTCTACATGTATATGCAGGATGGGGCCCCATAGTTAGCGAAGTTGGTTGGTAACTATAATAACACTAGTGTTTTAGATGGGGCTATAAACCAACTTATAACTAGGGGGCCCCATCTTGTGGAAATATATAATATATATATATATATATATATTATATTATATTATATTATATTATATTATATTATATTATATGTACATAGTGTGCATATATATATATATAAGACATGTTCTAAAGCGAGAGAGTGAGAGAAAGAGAGATATAGTCAAAATTTGTTCTTGACACCAGGACCAAGAACAGCACAACATGGGATTATCCTTGCTGATCCGTGGCCCTGATGAAGTGTGGTTGTACCAAAAAAATACCACAGCGATTCAACTGTTACTGTGTTTACGCGTGTTTTTGCTACTGGTTGGAGGATCGTCCCACTTAGTAAGTGGGTTTGTTCACCACAGTTTTAAGTAGGAAAAGTAGGGCTAGCCCAGTTATAACTGTATTTTTTTGTAATCAACTTACTGAACCAAGTAGGAGTAGCCTCCAAATAGCAATAAATTATTTATTTATTTGGTTTAATGATTATTGTCTTGTCGATTTTTTTTATGTAATAAATATGGTTTTAAAACATTTTTATTTTTTCCCTTGGAAAAATTGAATTAGAACTTAATAATTTTAAAAAATATGCGTTTTTATATCTGAAGAATCTGTGGTTAACGCATGGCAATAATTGACGTGTTGCTGCATCATGCAGCCCACTGCTATAGTTTTAGTTTTCACGGTGCCCACAGTTGTTTTACCATGAAAAGGACCACGTGTTTAACCATCAACAAGTGGAATCATTCCCAGGAACCGGGTTTAATTCCTGAGATGTTCATGTTCAAAATCATCCCAAAATTGATGGATGTGTTCATGATATTTATTGGGATTTAATACGGATATTATGGTTTCTTTTTGGGTATGTTTGATGGATGGATTCCCATTTAAGTGATGCTTAAGTTTGACAATTGTTGCTCCTTAAACCCTTGGGAGATTTGTATGACAACTGAATTATTCAAGTGAGTATTCTGAAGAAATATGTGTTGCTACCCTATTTGAGGTTCACTTATGTAGATAGTTGATTGCATTAAAAAAAACATTAGATGTTTATTTTTAAAAAATATTATTGGGGGATGTCATACCACACTGGGTTTGATTATTGATGAAACACTATTGTTTGTGAGAACCTGTCTTATTGACAAATTACGCTCCGGTAATCAAGCGTAGCGTGCGTCAACCCCCCCATGCAGTTTTGTTTTCGAGGATTTCCCAGCGGCCGGCCATGTTCGATGACACTGTTGCGAGTGTTTCTATCAACTTGGATACTAATAATGTCCATTAAATCCTTTTAAATCCCTAACATACCGTTAGCAAAATCCGAAAAAAATATCCAACTATTAAAATTCAGTAAAACCCAATCCCATTAAATTCCTCTAAATGCAATTATATAGATGCCCATTAAATACCCACAGATACCCATTGCAATCCCATTATATCTTATTTACCCCCCTTCAAGACCCATTAAATTCCAATAAAATCCATATTAAATCATATTAAATCCCATTAAAGACTATCAACTACCATTGAATACCCATCAAATACCCTTCAACTACCCATTAAAATCACATGAAACCAACTTTAAATCTCATTAAATTCCATTAAGTCCCATTAAATACCCATCAAATACCCGTCAAATACCTGTAAAATCACATGAAATCATTATTAAAACCCATTAACTCCCATCAAATACCTATCAAGTACCAATTAAAATTGCATGAAATCCCTATTGAATCCCTATTAACCCCATCAAGTACCTATCAATTACCAAGTAAAATCGCATGAAATCCCTATTGAATCCCATCAAATATTAATCAAATACCCATTAAAATCCGGTGAAACCCCTGTTAACCCCCAGTAGATCCCATTAAATAGCAATTGAATCCCCATCAAATGCCATTCACGAATCACCCAACAAAAACCAACGTCTTTCGGCGAGGCTTCCATTTGGGTCTATCATCCAGTAGATTGGCCTGGCTTTGGGGAGCTCTCAGACACACAGGCGGGTCCGGTTCAGTTCAGCCATGAGAATCTACAGTTATAACTGTTGAGGGCTGAGGGCTATAACTGTACAGTTGTTTAAACGGTTAAATGATATACATATATATATATAAATCAACCTTAGTTATGAATATGGCCTATGGCCATATATATATATATACATACAGTCTGGTGATATATCAAATATTAAATATGACATGGGACCAATGATTAAAAACTGTTAGTTGCCACATATATATATAGGGGACAGGTATATTTAGGGGATAAGACCTAGAGTTGTGGCAATTACGAGTTACAAGTGGCCGTTTAACTGTGAAGAAAAACGTTTTTTGTTTATGGGATTATTTCATGATATGATGCCTAAGGTTAACAAATATAACTGGGATCTTAATGATCCTAATGATATATGATACATAGAATTTTAAATTACAGACTACAGTATATCATACATAAATCTATGATAGTTATATATAATATGTATGTATCACTATAACCTACTAGTTACAGGAATTATAAACAATGCCATCTAAGGCCAAGCCGGGCTATAACTGTAGCCCCCAAACATATTTTAGCCAAGGTGACGATGGTGAACATTTTCTGTATGATGTTCGATGATTTTCTATTATATTTGATGAGTTGTATGTTTTTGACCTGTTGTGACGAATGATGTTTTTTTAGGAGGCCACGAGAGCTGTTGAGTTGATTAGGGGAATAGAACGAACTAGTTCATGACTTATAACCAAAAAAGGATGGTGTAAAAATAGCATGCTGCAATGATTTTGTGTATTGTAGGAAGCCATTTCTGCATCTAAGATTGCTGGTAGCATCTCCAGCTCGTTTGTATGTTTGGTTTTAATGCCATTTCTGTATCCTGTTCTTTGGCGGATCCACGATAGGCCATGATACATTCCTTCCCTACAGTATTTGGAGTACTTGAATCACTATAGGGTCATGTACCAGTCATGTAGGTGAATATGTTTGTTCGCAACTTTTCCTGGAGCCTCCTAGACAGACATCAATACTCCTAGACAGACATCGCTGCATCGCTGCCTGATATCCTCCGTAGATCCGATCCGAATGGGTTGATTTTAGTTCACGTAGGGTTTACTGTTACAGTAATGACGGATGCAACATGCCATAGTTCATGGGGTTTATCTTACCTTGCATGGGATCCATCTAAAACAGATTGATTCAAGATGATTCACTCGTGTTTCACAGAAAATACATACAGAAAAAACTATTGATATAGACATAGATATCTTATACATATATATATAATGCATATGGAATACTGTGCCCAGGAAAAAGGATACAATGAGTTTGTGCAGACAGCGCAGTGCAGACTCCAAGATTGCCACGATATGTATTTCCACGTGGTTGCTGACAGCAATCACGGAAAGGTTTTGCTACCGTTTCGCTTCTGCTGGCAAAAAAAAGATACAATGTGTCTAAGGAAGAAAAAAATCTGATTCAACATGAGATTCCTATGATATCCATTCTACATTCTACGTGTCGAGATTCAGTACTCCAAAGTTGTTTTCTTAGTAACAATGACATGAGTCTATTGATTTTCAGGGATTCAAATTGGTTGGTGGTTTCAAACATGAATTTTATTTTCCATTTCATATATAGGATGTCCTCCTTCCCATTGACGAACTCCATCATTTTTCAAGATGGTTTTTTAACCACCTACCACTGTTGATCCATAGCCATATCCACATATTTTGTTGATTGCATGGTGCCCTTCCCAGGCCATGGCCAAGTTGATGTATATAACTTCCGCCGGAGGGCGTTTGGTAATAATGTCCCCAATGGTGGCTTAAGCATGTTATAGTCATCACCAAATAGATGGAAAAGTAAATCACCATCAAATTAGTAGGGATTTACTTTTCTCTTTGGCGATGACTATAAACATGTTAACCATGTTCCATGTATTTCTTTCAGGTGCTGAAGAAGGTCATGGAGTTGTCTCCCAACACCGTGCTGTGGGTGGTCCTGTCGGGTGTCATTGCAGCAGGCACGACATGGCACGACGGCCCTTCACGAAGTGGCGCTCCAATTTCACTTGGCTTGATGCTACAATGTGGTGCCAATAGGTGATGTTACCCTCTGGTAAATTAACATAGACCCTGAAAATAGCTTAGTTTTAATGGAAACTAATCTTCCAACCCCGATGACTGCCAGGGTCTATGTTAATTTACTGGAGGGTAATGTTGGTTTATAAACCCCATTAATCCTATAGTTATTTGCGTATAAAAACCATAGTTATTGGACTTATTGGTACCAACTGAACGCTATCTAGGGGGGCCCACATTGTAGATATATCGAACTACGTCCTATGTGTTTTTTCTTAATCAACGTTCCATCACAAAGAGGCTCCACCTTTTTTTTGGATCCAGCCGTAGCTTCTATTCGGAAGTGTTTGGGGGTATAATGTAGGACTTTAAGATACTTTAAGCAGTTACACATCCCATTGATCTGGATGAAATATCTTAAGTGACCTCATGTGACAGTGACATCACTGGATCGTTGGAGGGAATCATCCTCAGATGCGGCTGAAATTTCAGCTATTTCAGGTCAATCCATTATAAGAATTCAGCCACTTATTAGGAGAATATAAAGTATAGGATTTAACTATGGAGAATTTGACCAAGAAAAAAGACGGGGCTAATATGCTTATTGTTCAACTCCACCTGCTAGGTAAGTTTGCTCCTCCAAAACAAGCAACTCGTCCGGTCCTGCAGACTGGACCCGAACACCGGACTCGAACACCATGCCAGATAAGGTAATGTCAAAAAATAATATATTACCCTCTGGTAATTTAACATAGCCATGGTATAGATGGCCCATTATAGATGGTTTACCTATTAAACATGGTGATTTCCCATGGCTATGTTAAATAACCAGATGGTATATTACAATATATGATATATGTCAGGTAGACTGTCAGATATAATGTCAGACAAAATGTCGGATAGAGATAGAATGTTGAAATACATGCCAAATAGAGTGTCAGAATATATGTCAAAATCAACTCTAGATAGAATACCAGATAAAGTGTCAGATAAAATGTCAAATATATGTCAGAACATATATCAGATGAACTGTCCGATAGACTGTCAGAGTACATGCCAACACAAAAGTCAAACAGAATGCCAGAAAAAATGACAGATTGATTGTGATAATATAGGTTTGATAGAATGTTAGTTCATTGGGGTCACTCAAAGGCAAGTTGTTTTTTGATGCTCGGAAAGTTATGATTTGGCCTGGAACATGATGATGTTTACCAGCATGAAGGTGGATTTGACCGGAAAAATGTGTTGTTTCCGTGAACAAATTGCGATCATTATTTAGCAAATAGTGTGTCTCTAAACTATACGCGTGAAATAAACATTGGTCATTCTGTGTGAAATGAATACGATGTGATTTGAGCTCCAACAGTGTATATTTTGGCTTGACAAATAGAGACCTCAGTTGCCATCAGTTACCCAAATTACTACAAGGTGGTGCCCCCCCAAGTTATAAATGGGTAGTGACATTGGACTTATTTGCACCAACTGAACGCGATTCCGAACTGGGGCACCACCCTGTATCACATTGGAAATACCCTCTGGTTATTTAACATAGCCCTGGTATAGATGGCCCATAGAAATAGATGATCTCCCCATCTAGAAACCTCCATTTATGGTTGTGATTTTCCATGGCTATGTTAGTCATAACCAGATGATATTTTGCGATGAGAATCTACAGAAAATCAACGAAGTTTGTTGCACAAAGATCGATTTTTCATGCTGGACGCGGATTTCACATGCCTTACTTGGTGGCGAACTACCCACGAATCGTAAGCCCAGTGATTGACATGGGATAAGTAGGGTTAATCCACTTATAACTGGGGTTATAACCCACTTACTAAGTGGGATGAGCCACCAAGTAGCGCTGAAGCATTGGGTTCCAATTGTTGCGCAAGAATTGGGACAAATTGTTGAAAATAAAGATCCGAAAAACACAACATGTGTATCCGGTTGGTGGTTTGGAACATTTTTTATTTTCCATAATATATGGGTTGTCATCCTTCCCATTGACTGTCATATTTTTCAAGATGGGTAGAACCACCAACCAGGTATGATGTGACAATGACTGCGACTAATTCTGGTACTAGTTCATCACGATAATCAGCTCCGCCTGCCGCGTGTTATCAGCTCCTTTGGCCTTTCAACGCGTTGCGGTTTCCGCGTTGCGCGGGCAGGCTACAACGTGTTGCAGTACACGGTGGTGCAAAAATTGTCTGCCAGCCATGCTGCGTTTGCAGGTTCACTCGGGATGGGCACCATTTTTTTTTGTGATAGCACTGGAAAAAATGCCCGTTGTATTCGGAAATACCATGAAATATCACCATAAACCATTTACTAGCTGAGATGCAGCCCTAAGCTGGGTTCAAAAGTTTTGTTACCAACAACTGGAGCGGGAATTGAAACCAGTACTCGTTTTTATATATATATATGTTTATTGGATGAATCTTAACGACCTCACTGCCACTGGGACCCCCTAGCTTAGTTGACTTGTAACTTGGTTAACTGTTGGGTTATTGGTGATAGAACTATTCACCTAGACTCTCCAAGTACCACAAAGAATGAGCGTTTTGCGCCACAATTTTAGTATTCTTATCTATTTTTATAGGTACCTGGAGGGTGTAGGCATGGGGATTATCAACCAAGAAACATCACTGGGCCACGTTGATGGCTAACATGGTCTCGGCCTCTCGGCCTCTCGGCCTTCCAGGTAATTTCAACAAAGCGGCAACGATTTTGCTCTCCATTTGCATGGGCTTGGACTCTTGCCGCGACCATGGGCGAAAACCGCGTTGTGTCACCCCAATTCCATCCAATTCCAAAGATGATTTGATCTGATTTTATCTCCCCATTCAATCGCCATGATTATCCATTTTTGAAATTCCATGATATAATTTATATACCCCAACTTTAGACACACCAAAGTCGTCTTTGGAAAGTCTACACGTTGCCTTGCCTTGGTTTACCATCTCGCAGGCCTCTTTCACTGATCGATGGTGTTGTCATGTGTAGAGATTTGGTAAGTTCCAAGACATGCGTAATGCTTCAATGGGAATTTCAGGATCCTAAAATGGAGGTACTGTACCATATATATATATAAAGCCATATTTTGTGGGGATATTCCCTTACATAGGCCTAAAAAATAGGCCTTATATATGGTAGGTACCTCCAATAAATCGGTTCCTGTGATGGCCAGAGAATACTGCGATGATTTCACGATAGCCTAAGTTGCAGGAGTTATTTCATCCCATTTAGAAGTGTTAGTTGGGCCATAACTGTATAATGATGGTCACATTTCCGAAGCCTCCCAATTGTGAAGGAAGGTCACCTGAAAAAAAAGTCTAGAGGCTAGATGACAATCATCTCTGGTTGGTGGTTTGAAACATTTTTTTATATTTCCATATATTGGGAATGTCATCATCCCAACTGACGAACTCATATTTTTTCAGAGGGGTAGGCTCAACCACCAGCCAGATCAGATTCACCAAGTGTATGCGGGCCCTGGTTGATGTGATGTTGAATCAAGCACAGGTCAAGATGGGGGTGCCCAACAATGATGGTCAATCCTTGAAGCCATCATTGTATACTAAAAAAACTAATCAACCATCAACATAAATGATAATAAATATATCTACCAACATCCAGAAACCATAGAGATATGTTCTATCAAACAAATCTGGTCTGGTATCTACTTTCTGGCTCATCCCACTTACCAAGTAGATTATATCTCTGTTGTTTCTCTGGGATAAGTAGAGTTAATCCACTTAAACCTAGGATTATAACCTACTTAGTTAGTGGGATGAGCCACCAAGTATCGTGCTGTCAATCCAGATGAACCAAGTGCCTTCAAGGAGTCTTTGCCGGGTGGCTTCTGGACTGCTGCCACTCTGCAAATATGGAAATCTGTGCCATCACAGGTTTGTCCAAAGACAAGGATAGTACTATAAGTGTACCAAAAATCAACATACATCAAAAGTGTACCCGAAATCAACATATATCAACTACCATGTTTACTCATTTTTGATGGTCTAGGCAACTGCTGGAGATATTTATGGATGTCCACAAACTTTGAACAATCCCAATAGTTGACTGTTCTTTCTGCTTGATCAGATTATTTTGTGCAACGACTTGTTGCTAGCGGGACTTGCGATCTGTGGATACTAGCCTGAATGAAATCTAAGATTCATATTCATCATCATCATCATCCTCATCATCATCATCATCCCTTATGAAGATAAGATGTTACCAAATTTGGAAGATGTCGCGACATAACAGTCCTTCACCGATTCCATGTTGGATTTCTTCGCTTACGCTTTGGAAACCTGCAATCTGGCCGCTGTCTCTGTCATTGATGGGTGAAGTCCAAATTACCCTCAATCTGGATGCAAAAACAGTGATATGGGTTTGTCTGAAAATTGCGTACCCATGTGTACCCAATGGTTTGTCTGAACATGTTCCCTATTGGCTTTTTTAAATTGGGATATACCCTATGTTCACACCCATATGACCACTTTGGTTCATTATTTTAGTACACCACTTTGCATGTGACCTGGATTTGAAGATGATTTGGCTTACTTTTCCAATGGGAAATCCACTACGAACTCTTTTTTTGGGGGGAGTTCCCTAAGCAAATCCAAGATGATGTATCCTCTGGTAGACTAACATAACTATGGAAATTGACCCATAGAAATAGTTGATCTACCAATTATAAATGGTGATTTTCCAGTTCGCAAACTGTTAGTTTACCAGAGGGTACTTGTACCAAGTCGATCCTCTTTTCTTCCACAACGGATCAAGACACTGGATTGCGGTCCAGCAAGGGGAGGAAAAGACTGTGCTCCTTTCTACCTGGGTGGTTTTAGATATATTGTCCATCCCATTTTTCATCCCATTTTTTTGTCATGACGATTAAAACTCTAATGCATTTTTCTTCAGATTTTCGTACACCTAAAAAAGAAAGAAACGTGATTTATCATTGTCGATTATTTCGGATTCGAGTTTTCTTTTCACCAATTTCTATCTTATTTGGGATTTTTATAGAGTGAGGGAACCTTCCGGCTCTTTTATTGACATCAGAAGTTTGGTTTTGAATATTGGATTCCTCGTTGTCACCACGAACCTAAATAACCAAAAATTCCCTTTTCGGATGCGCACGCAGCTAAAAGGAAACATATTGCTGTGTCAACCCATTCAAGTATAGACAACATAAATATATATTTTCTTCAAACACAAATGAATTTTGCTTGCTTATCAACCAACTTACCGTTTTGCTGCCCTTGTGCAGTTCCCTCTGCTATTCGACAAAAATTCACCTGACATGGTGACATGGCAGCGACATTCTCGAGGTGATGCTGTCGGCAATTATCGGCAACATTGGAGCCTTCACGAGCTATAGCATGTTGAGACCTGGACTGCCTTCAGTGGAAATTTCAGGATCCAAAATGGAGCTGGTTGGTGGCTCATCCCAGGTTATAACCCCAGTTATAAATGGGATAAGTAGGGTTAATCCACTTATAACTGGGGTTATAACTTACTTACCAAGTGGGATGAGCCACCAAGTGGTTGGTGGTTTCAAACATGTTTTTGTTCCATAATATATGGGTTGTCATCCTTCCCATTGACGAACTCATATTTTTCAAGATGGTTAAAACCACCAACCAGGGAGGTACGTAAACGTAGCATGATTTGGCCATATGTATTGGGGATATTCCCTGAAATTTAGGCCTCAAAAATAGGCCTTATATGGTAGGTACCTCCAATAAATCGGTACCTGAAATGGCCATTGATTAGTTACCCTCTGGTTATTGAACGTAGCTGTGGAGAATCACAATGTTTAATAGGTAAAGCACCATAAACCGTCTATAAGTGGCCATTTTCCATAGTTATATATGTTGAATAACCATAGGGTTATACGAGGGATAGGGATTGAATGGGATTTAGCCTTTAGTAATGTAACATAATAGCCACAGTGTTATGGGAAATCACCATGGTTATTAGGTAAAGCATCGAACTAAATGGCACATGTTCCATAGAAAAACGTTAATTTGCCAGAGGGTAATGGAAAAAAAATGATGTTTGTAGTAGTTAATAGGGTACTCAACAAAGTGGATGGGTAGTCTGATGGTAACTGGATGGATAGAACTGGGGAAATCTGACATATTTTGAAGAATATATTTCATAAATACCGTCAATAAGTTTTGAATCTCAAGACTCAAACCCTAGTTTGGTGTGTTTGGACTCAGTCAATGCGGACTAGTCTGTGTTGTTTCTATAGATAGCGACCCAACCTACTTAATACAAGTGGATAGAATCACAGTAAAATAACTGGACTATCGGACTGACTAACCCTACGTAGCCTGTCCGAGAGCTGGGGATAGAATCCATGGCCACTATGTGTGGTGAAGCACCAAGATGGGGACCGTAATGGCGAATCCGGGATTTGATGATCCTCCAGTTGTGTTGTGTTGATAGAACTATCAGATACCTATGGCATCATAGTTTTTTGGGTATTACCATCCATTTACCAGCTACTAGATGCTACTAGTTACTAGTATTTTGATGTTCACCAATGTACTAGGATACTGGTAAAAACATCAAAATAGTACATCTGGTTGGTGATTTGGAACATGAATTTTATTTGTCCATATATTGAGAATGTCATCATCCCAACTGACGAACTCCATCATTTTTCAGAGGGATAGGTTGAAACCACCAACCAGCAACGTACTGGGTTTTTGACACATCACCATGTGCCTTTCATGGTTTTCTCTAGGGATGACTGCATTCACCCAGAAGGCCTTTTGGAATGCAGTCCTGAACAACCCGTTTTGAAAAAAACGCCGGCAAAAAGGGAATTTTCCGACAAAGCCGATGATCAGAGTGTTGATTATATAATATATCATTGCATTTACACAAATATGTTTATTTATAACAAATAATATATATATATATCTATCTATCTATCTATCCCGTTGTATTCCCAAAGACATCCCTATCATTATATGGTATTCGTAGATTATGGTTGATTCAATGCTCTATCTTGATCGAAGGTTTACCCTCTACTAAGCAAAAAAAACTATGGAAAATGGACGATGCGTAGATGATTTTAGCTATAGAAACCTCCAAATTTGTCTCGGGGATTTTCCAGCAAGGGGTTGACTCAGGAAATCCAACGAGAAAGCCTTGAAACGAGCAGAGAGCGAATCGGCAGCTGCCAAGTCTTAGAGGTGCGGCTTTCTGAAAAACAGATGGCAAGTTACGGCTGGTTTTAGGCACAGAAAAAATCATGAACATATCTTCCCTGGTGATATGCTCATGTCATGCAATGTTTGTGTGCGAAAACAATTTCTGCAGTATTCTGCAGTCATGGCCCGTAACGCTTCTACATGGGATGAAATAACTCCTGTAACTTTAGGTTATATATCATGAAACAATCCATTTTAATAACTGTTGAAGGCTATAATTGTGGACAATAACTAATTGATGAATCATAACTTATATAATCTTATATATATATACAAATCATACAAAAATACAAATAGTTAAATATATATATATCATCATAATGCAGTTTCAGAGGACAGCCAGCATCAGACACTACCATCCCTGAATCCCAGCGAGACTCACCCAGCATCCGTGCGAGTAGCGTGGGAACGTCCTACCCAGCTGTATCCAATGTTGGCCCGTTGTACAACGCACGCCTTTTCCAGAATACCCTCTGGTAATCAAACGTGGCTAGCTGGAAAATCCACTATCAATGATGTTTTGATGGGAAAATCATGGAACTAAATGGTGGGTTTTCCAGCAAGTTATGGAGCTGATGACACCGGAGGGTACCTAGGGGTGCAGTTGGTGGAACTAATGCGTAAGACCATGGAATTATAAGGTATTACCCATAGGATCCATGTATGGTATATATGCCAACATTTGGGGGATATTTATGGTAAATGTTACCATATATAGCAGCACCATGGATCCTATGGGTTATGTTTTTTTTTCACCACGGTAGTGCGTAGTGCAACTGCACCCAAAACACCGCCATAGTGATTCTAATCAACGTAGCAGTGGCCGAACCCAGCGAGAGTTTGCGGCTGAATATGCTATAATATGCTGAATTATACTACCATGTAGCAACTATAGCTACAGTAGTTCTAGAGGGATTTCGATTTGCAGGGGTAGAAAACCAAGTGGTTTGAGTCAATGAAATCCACATAAATCCACACTTTTGTGGATTGAAGGTTTTTTTCTTGAGAACCGTTTTGATCCTCGTTTTTTTTTACGGGGTAAAACCAAAAACAGCTTGGTGTTTTTTCACCCGAAATTCACCGCAAGTTCCATGCTTTTTCTCGTAGTTTCCTCATGATTTTCCCCACCCATAGGATCCATGGTGCTGCTATATATGGTAACATTTACCATAAATATCCCCCAAATGTTAGCATATATACCATACATGGATCCTATGGGCCATGGTTTTTACCCAGAGATCGGAGATTCATCAGGTCGACCGATTCATCGGATCTGCGAAATGGGTGGATCCGAGCGCCTTGGAGCAATTTTCCTTCGCTGGTTGGTGGCTCATCCCACTTAATAAGTGGGAGATTATTCCAGTTATCAGTGGATTAACCCTACTTATCCTATTGATAACTGGGGTACCATACAGCACTTATTAACATCGATGGTTGCTGATCTCCCAGTTTCGACTGCGCCTCCAGAGGCTTGATTCGCCGAGGGAAAGCAGATCCTTTTTTTTGTGTTGAACAGGTCAGACCCAAAGACAAAAAAGAAGGTTCTTGTCTTAGAGGCTGGGCGTAATGTGGCTACAGTAAATTTGCTCCAAGAAGCGCTGTTGCCGCCAAGGTAAGCATGTCCGATACAAAGAATTATCCCGGCAAGAGACCCCAAACAGTGTTGGGGGGAGGTAAAGAGGTCATGTATTAAAATGTTGTTGATGATGATCTTAATGTTGATGATGATGTTGATGATGATGGTGGTGATGGTGGTGATGGTGGTGATGTTGATGTTGATGTTGATGATAATGATGATGATGATGATGATGGTGATATTGATGTTGTTGGTGATGATCTTAATGTTGATGATGATGTTGATGATGATGGTGGTGATGGTGGTGATGTTGATGTTGATGTTGATGATGATGATGATGGTGGTGGTGGTGATGTTGATGTTGATGTTGTTGATGATGATGATGATGATGGTGGTGGTGATGTTGATGTTGATGTTGATGTTGATGATGATGATGATGATTGTGATGATGATGATTCTGATGATTCTGATGATTCTGATGATGATGATGATTTTGATGATGATGATGCGGATGATGATGATGCGGATGATGATGATGATGATGATTGTGATGATGATGATGGTGATGGTGATGGTGATTATTTTTATGATGATGATGATGGTGACGATGATGATGGTGATGTTGTTGAAGATGAAGATGATGGTGATGATGATGATGATGATTTTGATGATGATGATGATGATGCTGATGATGATGATGGTCAAGGTGATGGTGATGGTGATGGTGATGATGATGCGGCCAGCATTTTGTGCGAGCCTGCGCAGTCAAAATGCACTTGAACATGTCACAAGAGGCATTTTGTGCAGAAAATTACAGGGAAAATGCCGGACGCTTCCGATACCACCTCGATTGAACACCGGTCATTAACTGTTACCGTAAGAACTCCTCAGTGTGGCCACACAGTTTGGGGAATAAATGCATAGTTCAATGGAAATTAAGCCAGTAATTAAACAAATTAATGGCTGCCGCATGTGCATGAATCTCTTCAGGTCTGCTTGATTATGGCGGAATGCCGAAAGCCTGCAAAACGATAAGGAAGAACAAAAAACGATAAGGTGAAAATGGTAATAGCAAATGTACTTTTTTACCACCTCATATAATGTTATATTATATCAGTATTGTTTATTGTGCCAACCTTTGTTAGATACGAGCTAGAACTTTAATCCTTTGCTATGGTAACCTATGTACACTCACAAACTAACAACTACATTTTTTGGGTATATATAAAAAACAAAAAACACCATGATTAGTTTAGGGGTTGTACTAGGTATCCCTATGGATCCAACTGTACCTTCTATCCGGAAGTGTTTCTTCTAAGGATGTGTTTGGGAGCCATATATATATATGTTTGATATGTTTTGATTATTTTTGGGATGATCACAATCCCCACAAGGTAATGCCCCCAAAAAAACCACCCGGCGCTGGACCCCCAGGTTCTTTGAGTCATACCAATTTCAGCCATCTATGGGGTAACATGCCAGTGTTTTATGGAAACAAACGGGGAGTCTAGGTATACTTATTTTGGGGGAATGGTCATCAATCCATCGTCATAATTGTCACTATGGGATGGATGACTGTACCACATTAATACTGTACCATGTAACTTGATCATGACACATATAGAGACTACATGGAACCCTGCTACTAGGTCCTTACAATTGTGTCTGAACCCCCGACCCCAACATATCAGCCTCAGGTCTTTTGATGCCAACACTTCATGCGCCGTTGTGAGCCTTGCGTTGGTGAAGCAAATGCCGATAAAACCACTGTGGTTCCTTCGCAGTCGGGCAGTGCACCGAAGTGGGACTCTGAGGAAGTTCAACTTGGGTCCAAGTTGTTTCATGTTGTTTGTTGGAAAGCAGGATGTGCAAATGTTGTTTGAGTTGTTTTTTTTGCATTTGGTAATTGGTAATTTATTTAATTCTATCAATTCAAGACGGTTGAGCATGATTCGGCACTGAGCAAGCAAGAACTTGTGTATTTGTGAATAAATTGACGTCCTTGTTGCGATATGTTCTTTTCTCCTTCCTTCGTGAGACATGTGTGGCGGATAGCAGTTCTTGATGCCAGCAAGAAATCTGATTCAGGAGGGAACCATCGCGTTCCGTCATTAAACAATGGCATTCACTACGATAGATGGAAGAAATCCTGCACCAGTCGATAGGTGATTTATCTCATTGTTGATAGGGTTTCAAGTTTCAACCATCCAAAGTGGTGCAGGATTTTTTGCATCCACAGTATGTTTGCATTCAATCAATGTGACAAGTCTAAGTGGTGTTGAGCCATACCTTGACCCTCAAATTCCAACATTTAGTGTGAAAACCGCAATAAAAAATGGGGGTTGAACACCAATGTTTGGGGTCAATGAGGGTCTACATGAGCCCCCAAACCATCAAAAATATGCCTCCTTTTTTATAACCATGGACGGTTTCACTCCGAAACAGACCTGTCTGTTTTATTTAGTACATCTGCCAAAACTGGACCAAGGTGCGAGTATCAGTCATGCTTGTTGGTTTAGAAACCCCAGTAGACGGGAGGCTCACCCTCGCATCTCAACTATTACAATGTTTAGCCATTGGCCCGCAATAAAAACTCCAAAAACTGAGAAACAATGCGGGAATTTTTGGGGATAAGCCCAATGGCCATTCCAGGAACCCAAATTGGAGGCACCTACCATATATAAGGTCCATGTAAGGGCTATGTAAGGGGATATGCCCCAAAATATGGAATTATATGTTACAGTACCTCCATTTTAGGATCCTGGAATTCCCATTGATAAGCACCATTTCCCGGAGGTTACTGAGGGTCTACATGTAGCATGTCAGTGCCAGGCTTGATCATCAGCCATTGGTGGTTTTCGGCTCAGAAGCTTTCAGGCTTCAGACAACGCAGATGGGCGCCATGACCAAATGGCGATACACCCAAATGGTTCGTTTATAATGGAAAATCCTATTAAAATTGATGATCTGGGGGTACCTTCATTTTAGGAAACCCCCAAGTAGAGATTGAACGGAATTTATGGCAGATCTAAGATATATAAGAAGACATGTAAGCAACCATAATTGTTCGGTTCAACAGCCAGCGTTTTTCTGAACATGACTGTTGATTTGTTGGTCATGATCAATCTGGGTAAATTATAACGACCTCACTGTTCTCTCTCACTGGAAATCATGGTTAGTAGGGGAAATCATCCCCAAATGGCCCAACATTTCAGGTTAGTGAAATATTTTTACCCAGATCAATAAGTATTTAACCAACAAATTATGGGGATACAAGTAACAATGATAACATCATGAAAATTCACAACCAATATGATATGGTCCAAGGGGGGTGTGGCCCCTCACAAAAACAAGGACAACCGACGTAGAAAAAATAAATAAATAGAAAGGAGGGGCCTTTGGTC